GACACGCTGCACAGTCTGCACAGGAAAAGAAAGCCACGGCCAGAGAGTCCCTGCGGCAGAATCCCTGCCTCACACAGAACCCGGACAAGTGCTGAGGCGCCGGCCCACGAGGGGTCTGAGGCGGGCAGTGGCCTGTGCTGCCACCCGCACGGCGAGGGCCCCCTGCGGGGCGGGGCCACCGTCCCCCGGGTCCCCTGAAGAGGCGGAGGCGCTGAACTGGGGGCCCAGGCGGTGCGGGGGCGCAGCTGGATGATATGGCCCCAGGCCGCAGCGCTGGGCCCCCGAGAGCCGGCCCTGGCAAACGCCCGTCGGCTCTCTGCGGGGCTGCTGGGCTTGTCGGGGCCACGGCAGGAGGCCCCGGCGTGGCACCGTGGAGGCCTGTGGCTGCTGTCTTCCTCCGCCGCTGGCCATTCCCGTCCACAGATGGCCGGCCTTCTCGAGGCGGGGGCCGCTCCTGAGGCCACCCCAGGCTTTCCGGTTGCCATGGTCACGCAGGGCCTCAGCTGCTGCGCCCGGTGCCGGAAGCCTGTGGCCCGTCTCCCCCGGCCCAGCAAGGGTCTGAGGCCCACCTGCGGGCACACCTGCTGCATCCCAGGCCGCTGGGCGCCCCACGCACGTGGACAGAGGTGGCAGACTTGGGGGGCAGCCGCGCCCAGGCCCACCCCCTCTGCCCAGCCCCGCGGCGGCCAGGGCCGGCCCGACTCGCCCACACACTGCTGGGGGCAGCCCTGCCTGTGGGGGGCAGCCTGTCTGCCACGAGCAGGCACCCCAGCGTGGCCTCCTGGTGGGGTGCGGGCTCCTCGGGCGTGCTTTCTGGGGTGACAGGTCTCGCCTTGGGGAGTCTCACTGGAGGCCGCAGCTCCGCTAGATCTCCATGGCGACGCTCAGGCGGCTCTCACAGAACATAAGGCGTCTGCGCTGGAAGGCAACCCCGGCCAGCGCCTTCCCCTTCCCGTGGGCGAGCAGGGCCGCGGCGGCCACCCACGCGCCGGCCGCACCCCCGGGGCCCCCTCTGGCTCTCCAGCCGGCACCTGTCCGCCTGTGCCCAGGGGCAGCCAGCTGGATTCCCCAGGACCGCCCGCCGGGGAGGTACCTGCGCGCGGGTTTTGGGGCTTCGCCAGCCCTGCCATGCTAGAAGACCCCTGAAGCCAGCCCTGCTCTGCGCTGCTCAGAGCTGCAGCTCAGTGCTGGGGTAGGGGCGTCCTCCGGGGCTGGAGGCCGCAAGGGAGGCCCAAGCCTGTCCATGTGCAGGAGGCGAGGGCGGGGTGCTGGGAAGCCTGCCCGGAGGAGGCAGTCACCCTATGGGCTGCGGGACTCCTTCCTGCCTTGAGGGCAGAGCCTGGGGTGATGGCAAGTGTGGAGGAAGCTGGAGGGTGCAGGAAGTAGCAGCCCAGAGAGTCAGCCCAGGTGCGAGGCTGACCCGCACACTCCAGCCCTGCTCAGCCCAGGGCTCACCCCACTCAAGGCGCGAGGGCAGGGCAACAGGGGCCTGAAGATCCCCCCTCCCCACCCCTCTCCGAGGCCTGCCCCCCAGGTCTCGTCCCTGTCCCGGCCGGTCACCACCACCTTCCGCAGACACGGTGCCCGCGCCCACCCTCTCGCTGCTCAGAGGCCGCCCCGGCTCCTGGCAGCCGGCGCCCAGACCGAGCTCGGCACCCCTGCGGCCAGCCGGCCCCGCCCTCCTGGCTCGCTCACTGCCCACGCCCTCTCTTTGGGCTCTCTGGCTCCAGGGCCCTGGTCGCGCTCCGCCCAGGCCACACTGGCCGCCGCCTCCCGCTTCCCTCACCGCTGACTGCCTGTGTGTGTGGAGGCCGCAGCCAGCTGCCACCGTGAGACAGGCCGCTTCCGGAGCCTCGGGCTACGGTTCCACAGTGGTGACAGATGGCGCATGGGGACAGGACAGCCACAAACAAGGACGGGGGCCCTTGAAGGCAAGGGGGTGCCAGGGCCCCCAGGCACCTGGGCTTAGACGTGGCGCCTGGTGTTAGGGACTGCAGGTCCCGCCCCTGCTCCGCACCTCTTGGCTCCTCCACTTCAGCCTCCGCTCTCTCCCTGGTGACCCCAAAGCACTAGCTCTACCCATCTCACCCCCGTCCCCAGGGGCCCCACTTGCAGTCTCCACCCCCAGGGCGCCTAAACTCCTCCTCGGTGTCCCCCGCCCTGGATATCATCTGGGCAGCACCTGGCAGGACAGACGGAGCCAACTGCCTGGGCCCCTAGCTGAGACTCTGGGCCAGTCACCCCAGGCTGGCCTTTGGGGCAGGACACCTGAGCCACCAGGGCCATGGCAGCAGGTGCCCAACACCTCCCAGCTCCCCCGAGTTTTTGGGTGTCAGCTGGGGCAAGCTGGGGCCAGAGGAGGGAGACAAGAGGGTAGCCTGCCCCGGTGCGGCCCAGCCTCTGCAGCAGCGTCCAGACCCACGTCCCGCCTCTGCCCGGCCTGGCAGCCTCAGACGACACCCACCGGCCCAGGCTTCAGTTTCCCCATCTGAACACCAAGGCTCATGGCCACACCACATCAGGATAACGTGGCTGACAGGACAACAGTGACCCAAGGCGGCTCTCCGCAGCCTCCCTGGCCAGGCCCTCCCAGGAGGCCCTCGGCCTCAGCGACCCCCGGCCGGCTCCCTGACCTCTGAGTGCGTCTGTCCACGGCAGTTATTTGTGCTCAGGGCACTGCCAACAGCTGTGGCATCGCAGGGGTGGGCCAACGACCCTCCTCCCCCCAGGGGCTCCAGGGCGCTGATCCCCAGCTTTGCATGAGGGGCTTCGTGGGCGAGGCGCCTGAGAAGCCTGGTGCTGACAGTGACCCCCCAAACACATCAGGATCCTGCGCTCCAGCCCAGCCGCCCAGGCCCTCTGGTGCCACCCTGATGATGGCGGCAGCACCCGCCACTCCCCAGCCCCCTTGGTTTGCCCAGCCAGAGTGTTCCCGGCCTGCTGTCCTGGAGGGGTCGGAGTGGAGGACTAGCTGGCATCCGGCTGAGAAGGCACAGCCCCCCACGGCGCCCACCCATGCAGGCCCACTGCCTCAGCGTCCACACCTGGGGGCTCCTGTCATTCCAGCCCCCAAGGGGGGCTCCCCACCAGCTTTGGGCAAGGGGCTGTGCTGTGCTGGGAAGGGACGTGCCGGCATGCAGAGGGGGCCGAGATCCCGAGCGCGAGCGCGCCCTCACTGAAGCCCACCACCTGCTCTCCGTCCTGGTCCGGAGGCGGCCGCAGGGGCTTGTCGCTGGCGGGGTGGGCTGTTGGGCGCATTTGGCTCCGGTGCGACTCGGCAGGACCTAGGCCTGCTGGCCCCGCCCCTCGCCCGTCTCATTTGCATGTCCCCGCCCCAGCACGCCCA